TTATGTAACTGTTCAAATAGCTGGCCGAATTTTTCTGTGTTTTTTTTTCTGTCTGGATTGCACACTTTAATGATTTCGCATGTATGTGCGCGTGCATACTTTATTTGAGTTGAGTGTGGACTTATGTTGCACGAAAATTTCAAATGTTTTTCTTCAGATGAATAACTGCAAAACCACTTTACGGTTCACAGCATAAACTTCCCAATTTCATAACCATAATTTTTTCTATAGATATATGTACTAATGTATAAACACATATATGTAAATCTTGGCCACAGACTACAGGAACTATTCCTCTAGACACTTGCGAGAACTCAAGTCTCCCCCCAGGCACGTCAGCAGCACTGAACCATACGGACTATAAACAAACCTTAAACAACATTCAAAGAAAGTCAACTCTTTCCCTATGAATGCTGTTATTGTAGAGGGGTCATCACCAGCTGCAGAACAAAAAGGTCGAATTGCATCATGAGATCCGCGTTGCTTTGTTTGATTGAGTAGTATGCAACTTTACTCAGCTGATGATAAAATCAGAAACCTTAAGATTGCTGCGGTACGAGTGTCTCTTACTTTGTAGAAGGTAATGGGTATTACCACTGTCAGCCAATCTTCCCTAACCTGTGTTGGGTTACGTTATCGTGGCTACCCTAAAAAGGCTTTTGAAGTTGGCAAACCATGGGTCGGTGGGACACCGCAATAGAGGCTCTATGTTTCCTCCCTCATTCAAATTTAGACCGATTCTGTTGGCTTGCGTTTCCATCAAGCAGTGGTCGTACCTGTCGGAGGGGTGGGTTCTGCTATCTAATCTACACCGGTTGTGTAATGCTATCGTACACGTGGGCTGCTTAATGTGAATTTGTCACATTTAAGTGCTTTAATAGCTGACTGACTATCAGGGAAGATAGCCGTATTGCATCTGCGTTTAATGCAGTTAGCTCAGCTTGAAATAATGTTGCAGAAATCCAGAAACTGAAAATTTATTGTGAATGAGAGTTCTTGCGAATACTCACTCACTCACTCCCGCCTTGAGGTCTTATTTGGATACAGGTTTATGACTATGTTTTTTCCAATCGCTCTTATACTAGATTTTATGTGAAAATAAAGGTCTGATTATTGCAACTTAACGGAACTTAAGAGCTGTCACTAAAAATTCTTCTAAATGGATGTTGCTTATATTTGGACAGCCGAAATTTAACGCAGATTAATGCCACGTCAATGTCTGTTTCGTTTTTATTTTCCAAGTTCTAAGATACATTAAGTTAAGTTAAGCTGCCATAACTAGGCTTTAATTCCTCAGACTGAAATTCAACGCGTTTGGGCTTACTACGTTACTTAAAAACTTGCTGTACTTTCACATTTAAGTCCAGTGGAAAAAGTGAAGCAATTAACTAACTCAATAAGAGATGAAAGCCTAAAGAGTTATTCAGAAGTTAGCTGAAAATATTTGATTACATATCGATAGTCAAACATTGACAACTCTTAACTGACATCGTGGATAAATATTGAAAACTCATAAATGGAAATTTTTACGAAATTGAGTTACATACATATGTATGTACATCAAAAAATTGCAAAATTTGTTAAGTATATACATATGTACATTAGACTACATCACTCCCCATATAAAAAAAATTGGTACTGTGTTTCCATTAGGATTATAAAATCTATTATACTTTAAATATTTTAATACTTGCGCCAAAATATTTGCGAAAAATACAAAGAATTTACGTGAGCTAGACCGATTTGAAAATACCTCAAAAAATGAACTTAAAAAAAAAAACAATAATTTCTTAAAGAGTTAGCTCAAGAAATCTGCATAAATATTATAAAGAAATTTTCGGAATCGTAATACTTATTAATGAGATTTAAGATGCTGGTATTTTAACATTGTTCAAAGATTGGTATAAGGAAAACTTGAATAACCGGATCAAAACTATTCCGATTTAGACTTTTGAGGTATCACTGAAAATTCATTTGCTCGCCTTTTTTATTTCTTTGAAAATAAGGTCAATCAAAGAAAAAAAGAGAAAGGTAAGATGAACGAGCGTCATTCAAAGTTAAATTAAGACATGTTGATATTAAAAAAAAACGGGAAGTGAATGAGTTTATTTTTGCACAGAAGTGAAAAGAGTGGGAAAATACCTTTCCCCTGATACCTCATAAGTCTAAATCGGAATAACTTTGGCCCAATTATTCAAGCTTTTCTTATACCAATATTAGAAAAAAGTTAAAAAACAGCATCAAATATTCCGGTGAAAATATTTTTGAATATTTTTATGCAGATTTTTTAAGCTTAATCTGTTTTGTCATCTTAGGGGACTTTTTTCAAAAAGTTCTTTAAGAAACTATTTAAATTTGTAAAAAAAACTCAATTTTTAGAGGTATTTTCCGAAATATTTTGGTGGACGTATTCAAATATAATAAATTTTGTAATTCCACCGGAAAATCCGAAACTTTTAATTATGATCCAGTCTAATGTAGGTATACATTTATCAAAATTTATCCAGTCTAATTTGCAATTTTTCGATGAACATATATATGTAAATCAATTTCGAGAAAATTGCCATTTATGAGTTGTCAATATTTGATTATCGATATGTACATATATATGTACAGTTCTGCTTTCAATGCGCTCTAACAAAATTAACCGCGGTATGCAAATAATCGTAATTTTGTATTATCATAACAAATGAAAAAATAAAAGGCTTGACCTTTGCCCGACAAATAATTATGGCATTTTACATACATACTTAATATGTAGATATATATGTATATATCGTCGTTTAAAGTACAAAACCGCGTATCAACAAAATGCAAAACCGCGTATGTGAGGTTACATAAATAATTTTCTAGAGAGTAAAAACACTCATATTTCAAAAGAGTTTGTGTAAGCAAATCCAATTTTTGGCAGCAAATGTCAGTTACGCTATTTTGCGGAATGACGATATTTTAAACGACGATATGTACCTGCAGCCTAACAATGAATTAAATGAAAACTTCAAACAATTTATGGCCTTGTCTACGCTATAGTAACGCTTTTATCTGCTGCTTGCACCTCATAAAACAAAGCTTTGTTATTTACTTCTTCGACGACACACATTCGATGCGCTTCAAGACAATACGAGAGTGGCGAGCATGCAACGCCAAACGATCAGTACGCTGCGCCTCCATGGCTACATATTATGTAGATATACATACAAATGCTTATATTAACATTACAATGCGACTGACTAGTGGCTTAATAGTTGGCTAAGAAGTAATAACAAAACACGTTAGTCATTTGGTTGAATGTAGAGCGTTAATAGGCATAGCAGCTCAAAAGAGTTATGCACATACATAAAAAGATTAGTATATATGCATGCATATGTATATATATAAATGGAATGTATGTATGTATATTATGGTGGTCCAAACTTTTTCCCCAGCCACCACCTGAATTGAAAAATATCGAAAACAAGGAGGCCCGTATTTTTTATAATTTACTCTTTAATTCGGTTAACTGCGCCCCGCGGCCTTTGAAGTTTTCTTAACATCTCATATAAGGAGAATAAAGTTTTCTGTAGAATTGCGTAGTCTCAGCGCAAATCGTTGAAAATAAATATTTTTGATCGAATAAATATATTACCCTTTAGAAATCTGCAAATCTGCAAACCTTAAAATCCTAAAATTATGATACCTATTGAATTTTATAATTTTACTAACTATTTTTTTCATAAACGATAACCTCATCTATTATACATACATATATGTATGTACAGCCAGTCAATAAAGTTTATGTACAGCAAATTTTTTACAATACCGGCATTTTTTTAGCCCATTCAATTTTAGTATAACAAGGTGCAAGTTTGAGGTAGCGAGGACATACCATTGATTTTTAGCAATTTTTTGTTGAAGGTGTCGCTCATTTTCTCCATATAAAATAATGTTCGATAATTTTTTTTATATGGAAAAAATGTCCGACACCTTTAATAATAAAAATTTTTCCTAAAATCATACTTGAATTGAATGGGCTAAAAACTGCATACTCTACTTTTTTCTAGAGAGCGTAAATAAAAAGTGCAATATTTGAATGAAATTTTGCGGAATTTTCTTAAATTTTTCACAAGGTTTGGAACTTCGATTTTTGGTGTTTTTGTTGTAGAATTAACTACCTTTTATAAGAAATTAGCGAAAGATATATAGTATTTAAAAAATAGTTGCCCGTATTGTAAAAAAGTCGATGTACCCAAAATTTATTGACTGACTGTATATGTACACAAAAAATAGTTATTTAATGCGTTCGTAACCACACCACGCACGTTTTGAAAAAATAGTTAGCACAATTTTGGACCTAAATTTGCATGGCAACTCCATAGCCTGAAGATTTCTGAAATAAAATATTTTTATTCGTTAAAAAAAAATGTATTTTTAACGATTTTATAGACATTCTGCAAACCATTTATTTATTTTTTTTTTATATAAACTATATGAAACACTTCAATGTCCTGCAGGCGCGCTCATATATTAACCGAAATCAGAAAAAAATCGTTTTATGACTTTATTTTTCTATGATTCTTGGGAAACCTGATTTTCCTGTGTATTTTTTGACCACCCTAATCTACATATAAAACCATATGTAGTTCACTATTTAATGACTTTGTTTAGTTTGTCTATCAAAGCACTTGTGAGCACGAATATATAGCCCATTTTTACTTATTAACCTTTGTACATATATACTTATTCTTGTACAAATGAAACATACATCTGTACATATGTATGAACATTCGTGTAATTATGGAAGCACACATGCAGAATGCATAAATTAATGTTTTGCGTGAAAAGTTGGAGGTTAAAATAATGTAAAATGAAAAAAAAATACATTTTGGTTTTCTTTATTCAACAACAGAAATTTCTAGTTTCAATCAACCTATTGAAATAAAATTTTAGAAAGTTCCTTACCGCCTCCACGATTAGTAAGCATACGGATAAAAGCTTAAAATGAATCATTTCCATGCTCTTACCCAACATATTGTTCTCTTTGGCATCTTCGCAGCGGCCCACCACGCGTATCACACCGCGTCCGGCTATCGGCGAGCAAGTCACTATGCCGCCCATGCGCGCAATGTGGGGTGGCACGCGTGGATCGTCGGTTATGTGAACGCCGCCATTGTGTTCATTGCCAGTGCCAATTCCATTCAAATTGCTATTGTTATTATTGTTGTTGTTGTTGTTGTTATTGTTGTTGCTGTTGTTATTATTATTTGCACCACCATTACCATTGCCGTTGTTGTTGGCAATATTGGTGATATCGTTGCCGAATGGACGCATTTTTATTATTTTTTAATTTTTGTTTTCGTGGTTTTTTTTTTGTTATCGGTGGTATCCGTTAATAATTGCGTTGTATAAAAAATATGAATGGTTGCGTATTTTATGTTGCAAAAAAAGCTATCAGCACTCTGGTGGTGCGTACTTAGGAAAGCACTTCAAGAACTCGCTGTAACTCTAACTCTTTTGACTGCGCACTCGAACTCTGCTGCTTTTGCTTTGATCAGAACTTTAAATCACACTTTGCGCTATTTATTTTATTTTCATAGTTCTTTTGTCTCTATCACAGCTTGTACAAATCTAGCTTCAAATTTGCCAAACGCTTTCAATAAATAATTTTCTACCGCAAAATTTTTTTCTTAATTATTTTTCCTTCTAACACTTTCAATTTCAATGCATTCAAAAATGCACTTTCTTGTTTTTCATTCAAAAACGCTAAACCGTACGCGTGTCTTCCGTTTTTCAAATGGTTGCAAAGCTCCGCCATCAGCTGTTTTTATACCACGGAAGAAGAAAGAAAAACTGCGTCGAATGAAATCAAAACAAAAGCGAAATAATAAAGCGATCGTACATATGTAAAAACATACACAAATGCACTAAATGTATATCGAAAGAAACTAAGCAAAAGCCTACGCTCTGGTCGAGAGATATCAGAGCGAATGGTTGTGAGTGAAAATGTACACAATGCACATGAACGCTAGCGAGAATATACATACATATGTACGAGTATGAGGTGTGAGAAGAGGCGAAATGGGTGACTGCAATATACACCTGTGCTCATACACACACACACACACACACACACACACACACACACACACACACACA